AATGATTTGCAAACGAGGGGGCTTTGTTATCCAACGGCATAATGAGTTGAGAGACCTCGAGGCCGACCTTTTGAGTATAGTGTGTACCGATGTCGAGGTCGAGCCAGTTCTCCAAGACATCACTGAAGAACAACTCAGCAGAGGGTCTAATAGAGCACAAGACGCAAGATTGGACGTTCGGGCGCGTGGCTTCTGGGATCCCCAGAGCTCGGCATTCTTCGATGTGAGGGTTTGCCACCCTAATGCCGAGTCTTACAAGGACCAGGAACCACAGCAGATTTATCGCATCCATGAAAACGACAAGAAGCGGCTGTACTCAAGGAGAGTGTTGGATGTTGAGCATGGCTCGTTTACGCCGCTTGTATTTACAACTACGGGAGGGATGGGGATGGAATGCATAAGATACCACAGCCGATTGGCCGAGCTGATAGCCGCCAAGAAAGGGGAACGATACTCGCAAACAATTTCCTGGATCCGAGCAAAGACATCCTTTGCCCTCCTTCGGTCGGCCTTAGTTTGCCTTCGAGGATCGCGGGTGAAGCGCCGCGCTGCGTATGACTATAATAATTGTGACGTTGAAATCGCAGCTGCCGAGGGAGCCATTGACATTGTTTAATGATTTTTAGCAGCCTTCTATATAGGGTTCTAGATTTGCCATTCACCTTTCTCTTCTCTGTATAGTTTTAGATATGCTTTTACTTATCAGATTATTAGACTTTGAATCTGTTCAGATTTGACTCCGTTATTTATAGTTTTCCAGACGCTTTGACATGAAAAAAAAGGAGGCGATGTGAGCCGAAAATGAGTTACTTTGCATCGTTTTTTACGCTGTTAATATTTTGTATTGTAGAGGATTTATGGAAATTATAGCTAAATAAAGAAGGAGATTTAAAAAAATTATTATTATTATTGCTATTTTTGTCATTATTGCTGTCGTTATTGACAGGGATGATAGTTATTATTGGGCTTGCTCGCCCACGGACCATCTTTTCCAAGTTTATTACAAAGTGTGACGGCCAACTTATACAAAGTTCGATGGTATTTTATTAAAGAATACGACGCTATTTCTTACAGAGTACGATGGTCTGTTATTACAGAGTACGACAAGTGTTACAAAGTGCGACGATTATTAGTGCCGCACAACATACACGCGTACCCGTGTAATCTGATTTGCAAGGAATCGCGAACTAACAATTAACCTCTTCTGTCCGATCCTAATTAAGTCTGTTACTTAGTTTCTGACAGAAACTTTCGGCGAAAGGACCGAAATTTAACAAATTCTTTGCAAAACGTTAGTTATTGGGTGTTTTCCTGTTTCTAAATGTGATACTCAGAGAAGTATATACACATAAAAGAAAGAAGTGGAAAGATTTCCTTTTCTGCTACAAATAAAACTTAGTAATTTACTGCAACTTTCTTTTCTGATGACTCACCAAATTAATAATTTTTTGTAACCGAAATCAGGGGGTTTCGTTAACCCCTTCAGTTGGACTAAAAGCCTTGAAAACATAAGTGCCACGTCCTTACTTGCACGAACATTAAACGCGTAAACCCTATATTCATTTCTATCAACAGTGAAAATTTGAAGTATAATGTTTACGGCAACAGCACTCTACTCACTAGTCCCATAAAATGTCACGGTGCTCCTCTTTGGTATTTTATTATCCATGATGTATTTGTTGTGTCTCAGAAGACTCTCTGGACGGGTATTACAATTCAATTTTCAAAGGGGTTCACAGTCAACTATTGTGCATACAAATCATATGAATTAGTTTATTCCTAAAACATCATTTTTGCAGACAAGTTGCCTAGTGGCTTCAGAGATTCTTAAACACCACACTCCGGCAGCGCGAGCCACAGTGATAGAAAAGTGGGCAGCTGTGGCGGAGGTTTGTCGTAACCTCCATAATTTTAACTCCGTTTTGGAAATCACATCTGCCTTTATGAGCAGTTCGATCTACAGGCTGAGGAAGACTTGGGAAAAAGTATCAAAACAGGTGGGTGGTAAAAGTAATATTTAGGGATTTTGCCCTAGTGAGGCATTTGGCGGTGTGAGTAGCAACCATTTTTGGTTGATTTGAGAGACTTGACCGTCAGTCAGTTTTATAACCAGTAAGGTATAGAAGCACACATTAGAAGTTTACACCTCACCTTTTTGATACTGATTTCCACGGTGAGGAGAACACGTGGGAGGTCCTAGGGTGCTATTGACCTCCCTTAAAGGGAAAGTACGGTCTAGAAAAAGTTTATCTCAATTAGAAGACTTTTTCCTCAGGAGTTCGAAAATAACTGCCATTTTGTCTAGTGTGCTTTGTATTAGCGACAAGAGCGCTTCGAAGTTGCGCATTTTTACAACTTTCGTGGTTAGAAAACGCCATCTTGTGACGTAGCAATAGTCAAACTTAGTTCGGCACTTTGTCCTTGTTGACTAGTTCGACCTTTTGTGAAAACAATTTCTAATACTCCCAATAGTGGAAATGAGGTGAACTGTCCTGTTTTTGAATGTCAAAATACATACTAAAATTCAAGAGGAAAAGGTGTAAGCCTCTACAAGCTACCGGAAAGTGAAACATTAAAGAAAAGTTAGCCGGCAAAAATGACCCGCGACGACGACGACTTGCCGAACCCTGTAAAACCTCAGAACTTCCAGAACGAAGACTTCCAGCGAGATATACAGGCATGTAAGTTTTCCTTGTTGACCTTCGCTTCGAACTGAAAGCTATGCTTACCTTTTCCATATTCAACACAGCTCCCAGTTATTTATTCTACGAGTTTTTTTCAAACCATTTTATTGTAAACGAATAAATTAAGCTCGAAATGGTAGTACACCGTGTGTGGTAAATTTTCAGTCGCCACCTTTGACCAAAGCCGATTTACAACATCATGTGCTTTTCCAAGCGGTGTACAAATATATCTTGTCTTTCCTGAATCTGATATGAATCCATCGAGTAAATTTTCTTTACCCCAACAGTCACATTCTCTTGTGGAGAAAAAACTACATGACATTTAATACATCGCCAGCAAATTATAAAAAAAAACATAAACATCACAAACGACCGAAAAAGAACGACCTAACTTTACCGACAGATCGAAACAGACCAATCACGACCGACTTACGTCACTTGAGTCTTACAGCCAATAACATCACGGCAAAACCAACCGATCATTTCACACGAACTGTAATAAGAACATTCTACTGACAACAATCATTCACTTGACTCTGATGATGACTTCCGCACAGGTTGTCGAAACGTCAGTCACTACCACCGACAACAGTCCTTTTCAGGACTACACTCACCCGGACGATCAGACTACACCTTCACATGTTACCCCCGGGTTCAAACCATTTACTGCATTTAATTCTTAGGCGGATACATTCTCGTTTTCCGTAGGTTTCTCTTGACAGTTGCCGCAAGAGAACCACTCGCGATTTCCAAGACGTGAGCGACTGAGCGGGTCGACGTTTCTTCTTGAAATTCATTTTCTTGACTTTCTCTCTCTCTTTCTTCCCAACAGAAGTATCTCCTTCCCCTGAAGACCAGCCATGTTTCGTTTGAAACATAAATGGTTGTACTACATCCTCTCGCTAGATTAAAATTCAAGTCGAGAATTCAATGAAGACCAGCCATGTTTCGTTTGAAACATAAATGGTTGTACTACATCCTCTCGCTAGATTAAAATTCAAGTCGAGGGTGGCGCCCCCATCGCCGCACTTTTCCTTGTTTACATCTACTTCAGCAAGGGATATAATTTAGCATGTTTGACTATTGCTACGTCATAACAAAGATGGCGGAATTCAAATTGAAAATGCCAATTTTTGGAACGTAATTGTTCGCGACTAAAACGCTTTTAGCTCAAATGAATAGTCAGTTAGGGCAATTCAAGCAAGGAACTTTTGATCTAAGTAAACTTTTTCTAGACCGTACGTGCCCATTAAAAAAATCCTTATACGTCATTTCGAGAACTTCAGTATATGTTGAATATTTTTAGGCTCTGTAGAACCATGGGAAGTCAAAGACAAACTGTGAAGACTAACAAAAATCTTAAATGTATGCATGCACTGTTTAGAATAGGTGTGAGGACTTGACTGTAACTCTACTCCGTTAAAGGAAGACGAAAGATTAGTATCTAATGATTTAGAGGCGTTTGCTCTCAACAACATTTGCACCCTCCCCGAGACAGTCGAGGTTTTCCCTAGAACTTCAGAATTCACTTTTTCCCATTACGTTTGAACATACGAAGTAGAATACAAACAAATTGAAACCATAAAAGCGATTTTTTCAGTTTATCAGAGAATATAGCTTTTCAGGAAGGGAATCATTGTGTGATGCCAAACGTCAAGGGAACTATACTCTCTGTAGTATCGAATGGAAAGAGGGATTGACCAACGGTTGTTCATTATCTCTGACATCGTTGTAATATTGTTAGACCCCAAAATTGACGCTATACTATATTATTTGACCCTTTCACAGACGCGCACACTGATTGATCGTCTGCAGAAACTAGTCAGTTCTGATGGTCGCTTTAAGAACATGAGAGATGCCCTTAGATGGTAGGGTTATAATTTTCATACGTTGTTAAATATTGTAGAATACACTTTTCTTACTAATGCAATAAGGGTAATAGATGGTTTTAACCCGTGGGTATCATTTTATCGTGTAGTCTGATTGTCGGTGTGAGGATAGTCCTGAAAAAGACTGTTGTCGGTAGTAGTGACTGACGTTTCCACAACCAGGGCGGAAGTCATCTGCAGAGTGAGACTCTCGTACATACCTTAACCGTAGTCGTAGGTAACACCCCTGAAAGAGGCCCGAGCACTGTTAACTGTATCTGGTCGGTCACGACTGGTGTCGAGTCAATACACAATATTGTCTTTCGTCTTGGTCTAACTAAGAATAAAATTGCTTTTGTGGAATTTGCAGTTCTGATCCACCATGCATACCATATCTTGGTTTTTACTTAACGGATCTGGCGTTCATTGAGGATGGCACACCCAACAATAACGAGAACGGACTCATAAATTTCTCAAAAATGAGAATGGTGAGGATTTGCATTTGTAAATCACGTGCACGGTCTGTTACGGAGATTGAGAATAGCACGAGATTTACCAACATTTCGTTGTCCTTTTTTTTATAATTAAACTGTTCTTAGTGTATGTGTCTGTTTAAAATTTAATGCTAAATGTTGTTTTCTCTTTTGTTTTCAGATCGCTCAAGTAATAGAAGAAATTCATCATTATCAACAGAACAAATACTCCTTGGAACCAAATAAGAAGGTAAATCAGCAACCCCTTTGCGTTTTTGCTTTAACTTTTTATATCATTTCATTGCTGCACTTCAACTGGGCAGCGTCAAGGTGCGCTGAAAGGTGTATTATTAAAAACTAGATCATTGGATAATGCAATTCAAGACTTTTTATTGGCTTAGCCATTATGGTATATCAGCCAATATACCATAATCTACAAATATGGCAAGCGTACGTGTCAGCTTAAAATTAAAAGGGAGCTAAAAATTTAATAAAATTTAATAATTTAATTTAACGTTTTTAATAAAACAATTATTCCACTCGCGCTTGTTGGATATGAGATGATTATAGCCAACGAGGCGCTACGCGCCTCGTTGGCTATCTATCATCTCATATCCAACGCGCGCTCGTGGAATAATTGTTAAATANAAAATTATTAAAAACTAGATCATTGGATAATGCAATTCAAGACTTTTTATTGGCTTAGCCATTATGGTATATCAGCCAATATACCATAATCTACAAATATGGCAAGCGTACGTGTCAGCTTAAAATTAAAAGGGAGCTAAAAATTCAATAAAATTTAATAATTTAATTTAACGTTTTTAATAAAACAATTATTCCACTCGCGCTTGTTGGATATGAGATGACTATAGCCAACGAGGCGCTACGCGCCTCGTTGGCTATCTATCATCTCATATCCAACGCGCCCTTGTGGAATAATTGTTAAATATATAGGTTTAGCCAAGCCTAAAAGCGGAGCTCCCAAGTTCGTAATATTAATGATAACATAAAAGATGTGCATTTGCCAAGACTCGCCTGAGACACCCCTCCCTTCGTTTTGATAGTCTCCCCTACCCTACCCGTGCAATCTGAAGGCACGTATGTACGTACGCTCGGTCAGTCACGTGACAACCAAACGGAAAGAGGTTGATCATATTCTATGGGTATGGGGCTCTGCCTCGCGTGGGAGCCCCGCTATAATACATGAGATTTATTATACAATAAGGCGTATTTACTTAGGCTTTTCTTTTTATTTGATGTAGTGCATCTTTGACAACTGTGGAATTTCTCTGTGTGGTATTCTATCCATGCTTGATATTCCCCTCAAAAGTTTTCTCCTCGATACGTGTAGAAATCTTAGCGCCACGCTCTTTTGTAGCTTATTTCTACTATTTTATTTGTACTGTATTTAAAGTTTCGTGGGATGGCTTACTCATTCTAAATTCGCAATAAAATATGTATCACTGTCTTAGATAATTACATACCTAATGTCCAGAGACAACCTCACCGATGAAGACAAGCTGTACCAAACATCTCTCGCACTGGAACCGAGGAAGCGAGTGTCTTCGAAAGTGAAACAACCGGTAGAAACTGAAATATAACTTTGTATGGAGCTGACCTGCGTGATGGAAGTACCTTAGATTTCTCCGGCAAAAGGAGAAACATTTTATTTCCATTTGTTTTATTTCTCCAATCGTCCAACTCAAGTACATTAATTACTTGTTCTTAAACATTGTCGTGTATAGTAGATATTAATTGCATGTAACAAATTGCTTTTGAAATGAAATAGCTTCTAATAAATTTTTCCTTTTGAAAGTGCTGCTACCGTTCTGGTGTGAGGCTCTATTCCTCATGAGAACACATTTCTTTCTTTGTCCAATGTCAGGGCTCCCAGTCTCCTCCGCAGCCGTTGTTTGATCTCGACATGCAAGGCGCCCTCTTCCTCCAACTTTCGCTTCAAACGGACGGCAGGAGAGAGTGCGTTGCTTGACGAGACCAAACAATGGCTTGGCAGGAGACTACAGGGCTCTAAGCTTAATTTTCTTGAAAGTCGCCATTTTGCAACTTAAATTCATAGCGCGGTCGTCCAAATTAAAAGTTTTACACGCCAGAATTGACAACAAACAAACAAACAAAACGAACAAGAACATTTTTAGCAACATTACGCAACAGCCGCGTTTCCGTAGTCTGCCATGCAGGCTATCTCCTTGAGATACTAGTGCAGATCTCATTGGGCACTATGGGACTGGAGATACTTGTAATAACACTTTCGACAACTTTTTTACTCTGTTCATCCAAGGTCATGGACATTTGACAGCGATGTTTATAACATTGGTATAACCTTCGAAAGTGGTGGTACTTTCACCTTTTGAAGGATGAGTTCCATTCAGCCAAAAAGGGAATATGTTTCATGCCTGACCTACTTGTAGAAAAACTGGGAGTTGATAGAGATTTTTCTCTTCATCGTTGTTAGTTATTTTCAAACCAGCTTAGCTGTGCCGTTGTTCCTATTTTCATATTTGGGGTTGTTTGGTGTTTGGAATGTCTATTCAGGCGAGAGAATATGAGGTAAGAACATATCCCAGTGACCAACGATGAAGTTGTTGTAAAGTCGCTTTCATTCTTAGCTGCCATTGTGGTTCGCTCATGACGTCATCTACATGTGTATACGTCCGATCACAAGAAGGAACCAATCAAAAGGAAAGTATAATTCAGCTTGCATAAATAGTACTAGATCACAAATAACGTCAAGAAATAAGAATATTAGTAACACGCTTAGCTGGGCCTCGTTTGCCACTTTTGTTCTTATCATAATTTAACGATCACGCTATCAATGCGGTTTTAAATTTTTTACATATAGATTCTTTTGATACTATGAGGTGGTGAGATCGCTACATGGACTGAAGCGGCTGCCAGAGGCGCCTGATAAAAAATGCTGATATCCGATCTCAACCTTACGATACTGTTAAGCGCGGCTGAATATATCCACATAGAAGTCTGCGCTATATAAATGTAAAAATGTAAATGTAACTCTCGGATACCAAGCCGTATTGACTTACGGGCACATTGCATCAATCAAAAGAAGGTTCGTGAAAACAAAATCATTTCAACTAATTATCCACTGAATTATAAAAATACACCTTAAAGTGCCTATGAAGTAAAAAATTTTTTGCATAAATTTGTAGCTTATTATGTCCTTATTAAGGAATGACAAAAGAAATTTCAAGAAAAGAAATTTAAATCGGCTTTTTGGTGGCTCGAAGTCCCTAAATTAGACGTTATCGGTGTCTCCGGAAACTGGGAACGAGTTTGGCTCTGATGACGTAGTTGGTGGTTCTGGCGCTTTGTTTAAGCTTTTGTTTGTCGTCTTCAGAACCACCAACTACGTCACTTCCTTTGTAAGATGAGATTTGACCGCGCGCAAAATGGACCCATTTCAGGTTGCAAAATCCAAACTTTGAGGTTCAAAAAATAGTACAAGAAAGTTCTTTTGGTCGGTCAAAATCGCTTAGCTGTGTACATCAAGACATAAGCAAACAAACATGGCAAAAAAAATTTTTACTTAATAGGCACTAATCTTTCTCAGACCGACCAGCCACTGAACAGTTTGTATTCATTAATTCAAGTTCCTCTCACAGCAGAGAAGCTAAAGTCGATGGTCATCCTTTTCAAGAGAGGACGGGGAACACCTTCACCGCTCGTGAAACGATGCCAGTGCTTTATTATGGCATCGTCTTATTTTCTCTGTGAGGTTTTTCAATTTTGAAACTGCTTAAGACTGTTGTACTGAGTCGTGCTGTTACTTTGAGGTGATCTCTCGATTCCTTGGTTTTTAAAGAGAGTATTCATAAGGATGTCACGGGGAACCAAACAAACTTTGAGGGAGAATGGTCTCGATTTCTACATTTTTCTTGTTTGAATGGTGATCTCTCGGTATTGCACCGTGTATCCTGTACTGCAATAAAAATCAAGTAGTCAGACGATGTCAATGTTGTTTAAATTATATATAAAATTGTTCCAAACACACGAGACTGTCAACCTATCAAGTACTTGTTCAAAGTTGACTTTTTAAATCCCTCACTTCTCAGGGCTCTACTTCAGTGATCACAGCTTAAAACGTTTCATTCGCGTCATTGTGAACTACAACTTGGTGTCCAGGATAATCCAATAGATATGCTTTATTAACCAAGTGTGAAGGCTGGAAATTGGCCGAGTCCTTTTTTTGCATTTTTATGGACCGAGACAAAGTCCAGGTCCATAAATGTGCGAAAAAAGAACGAGGCCAATGTCTAACCATCTTGACCGAACAAGCTCGGTTAATAAAGGATTTATCGGGCGCTTTCTATTCAACAAAAATCACCCAGTCGAATGGAATGCGTCCTTTTCGATAATTCGGGAAATTCCATTAAAGAGGGAGCACTCAAAACGTATTCCTAAATTTTCGAATAATTTTCCCAGAAGTTTTACTGTTCCATTCAATTTCGGACCGAATTTTCCGAATTTTTGGTCGAATGGAAAGCGCCCCGTATTCCCAAATATTCGAAAACTTATCCCAGAATTTTTCCGTTCCATTCGATTTCGGACCGGAAATCTCGAAAATTTTGTTGAATGGAAAGCGCCCATCATATTGCAAAAAGATTTCGCTTCAATAAGAGTCAAGAGTGACTTGTTTACTCCGAGAGCCTGCAAAGAAAGCCACTGTGTTTGTAGCACAACAAACTCGCAAGAGTCGTTTCTGTTTTCTTTGCTTTCAAGTCAAGTTCAAGTCAAGTTTATTGTGTATATATGTTTAGCTTTTGTGAGAAAAAACTCACCAGCTAGTTTACAGGTATAACACAGAAAATAAAAACTAAAATTGAGAAAAAATACCTTGAACAAGTAACAATTAAAATTTCTTCTGCTACTTTTTGCGTTTCCATCGCCGAAATTATCCAAGAATAACGGATGTCGTTCTAATTCGATTTTTTCATGCGCGGGATCAATGCGGGCAATCCCGAAAGGGTAAGAGGGGCCGCTCGGGTAGCCAATCAGGACACAGGATTCCCTTCATCCTGCCCACGGGCGCTGCGAGCGATGTAATAATCCATGTTAGTGTGGTGTCTGCCAGCGGAGAATTGACTGTTATTCAATCTCGGTTTTTAATTCACACAGTTAAAAGTAATTTAAAAAAATCAACAAATTTTTCGTAGGGTAAATAGACTTTTAATCCAACACATTACTGAGTATTTTAATATCTTAAGTTATACTTTTAATCAATATAGCAAACCACTTACTATAAAAAACACCAAAGAGATTATCGAAACGGCAGAGAGACTTCTTCGAATTCAAATAATTTTGTTAACAAGTTGATTGGCTTCAAATTGAATCAGGAGACCAGTCATCACCTGGGAGATCGTTCTTTCTCTCATTTCCACTGACCGAGAGCCTTGCAGAGGCTATTCGCACTCGAACTAGATGGATCGACCACATACATTCTATCGTTAAGAACGTGTCTCTCTAAGAATCAAACATCTTGGGAAATGAAAATTTTTAACCCCCCTTCAAATTTTGCATGCAGTCAGGTATGGCGCGCCTTTCTAGTCAATATTCAAACAACCTTAATATACATTACATCCATGACATTTCTTTGCCATATTTTTTATTTTCTTTCTGTATATTTTTTATTTTGCTTCTTAATTTTTTATTTTCCTTCTATATATTTTTAAATCTCTTCCTATCAATTTATATATACGTGTTTTGCTAATCTATTTTCTATTTTTTCTATTTTTTCTATTTTTTCTATTTATTTTATATGCGTTCTATATTTTTTTTATTTATTCCATGTTTTTTCGTTCTGAGTGGGATTTTTTATTTTCTTTCTAATTAGTATGCAACACGTGGTCACTTGACCGCAATACTAGTGTTTTTTCCATTCCGCCATTTTGGCTTTCGGCTACATGGAGGAAGACTTGTCGTGCAGCCGCGGCTGTTTTAGAGATTTTTAAGTAATTTGAGACCTGGTTTTACGAGAAATGTAATACCTCGGATGAATTCAACGGCAGTCTCTCAGTCAGCCGAACAACGGGGATCGTAAGGTAAACAACGAGGAACTTCAGTCGAACGAACTTGCCATTCAGTCCTCGACGTCGCCAGACTCTAACTGTTCTATCCAAGCTCGGCTTGCCACTCTCTTTCCGACAATTGGTTCGAACCGAGCTAGTGCGAAAAGCATTAGTAGAAGACCAGCAAGGTCAAAGCAGACCATTAAGTCGACCAAAGGCCGCCCATCCTAGACACTTGTTTACAAGGATCTAGTCCTTATTCCCAGTCCCAAGATCAACAAAGTGCCTACACATACAACCCGACTTCAGTTAGAAGAGATAGAACTTCTCTGCCACGAGTTTCCCTCTGACAAGAGCTGGGATGCACATTCCCTCCAAGCTGCTATATTGAAAGCTTTTGCTAATTGAGTATGTCAAGGTGGGTAACTTTGTGTTGTGATATAAGCTTAAACATTGTTCTACGTTTAATGCATTAATGATAATATCATTGCTGTTCCGTTTGTATATTTGGTGTGGCTGCATTATTTTTAAATATGTATTTATACTATTTTGCCAAAAATTTAACCACTTAAGAGGATACCTGCAGTGACGCGAGTAATGGACTTCGAATTTTTGGCAGAATTTGTTGCGTTATTGTAGACTTGCTCAGGTACTGCCCTGCTCCCACCCCTTTCTCCTTACTTGTGACATAAGCTTAACTTAACTACTCTTTCATTGGATTTACCCTTGACTTTTGCAAGAAGCGTGCAGGTAATGTGTGTTTTTCTTAACCTAACCATGCTATGGAAAGCTAATAACCCCTAAGCTCGCAGGAGGGATAACTCTGGATACAGAAAGAGTGACCAGGATGGCTGGTCAAGGAGCTGTTTATGTTAGATCACTGGTACCTTTGGAATCTGAAGTTGAGGGTGAAACCAAAGAGGAGCTAGAAAATTCAGTATTAGATGACAGTCCAAGGTGAACTTTTTCTTGAGAATTTTTGCATTGAACAAACTAAAACCTGTATAGATTTCTTCTAGCTTTTTTGTCTCACTGCAAAGGTGGCTTACCAATGCAGAGGAATAACCTTATATATGATAGACTGGCTTCCCAGCTCATGCTACTACATGACAATGGCTTTTGTTGGAAATATTATCCAGTTTGTCTCCAAACCGATTTGTTTATTTTATTGTTTATTAATTTATTTGTTTGCTGAGATCTTTATTCAATCATTTAGCAGGAAAAGACATGAATTGATGTGGTATTTGGCAACTCCATGTGATTTTGGATATTTGTATAAAGATCAACCCTTCATAGTCTGTTACATCATTGCCACTTAGTTTACTTTGTTTTTTATGGTTTGTGATAAGTTAATATTTCCTTTTAGTGTTAGTGGAGCACAAAGAAGCTCTGTGTTGCTTTCATTTGGGGAGAGTGATGGGAGGCCAGATCCAGCTGTGGTGCCCCACCCCTGCCAGGATGCTACACAACCTTATTGTGTACCATTTCCAACTGAAGCAGAAACATCACATCAAAATACTGAGTTAAATGATATAGAGACAGGCAGTAACTCTGATATTGTTCATGTATCATCTGAGCATGTACCTGTGTCTGTATCAGTACCTGTGCCTCAACTGCTACCAAAACATATCATCCAAGTGCACAGGCTAAATATTAAGAAGGATTTGGTTGACTTATTCCGAGATCCATTAATTATGAGTCAGGACATAGAGATAATTGTTATTGATGCCAAGGGAGTTGAAGGAGTGGGCAGAGGTGTTGGGTTACTTAGAGATGTTTTTTCTCTCTATTGGAAAGAAACATATGATTCCCTCTTTGTTGGAGAAAATGAGCGCATACCATTTGTAAGACATGACTATCAAAGGGATGAATGGGTAGCTGTTGGCAGAATTGTGGTGAAAACCTGTCAATACCTACCAGTCCTTCTGTCTCAAACGTTCCTTGCCTGTCTTTTTGGGGGGGAATCTGCAGTAACTAGTGCTATGCTGACTCAATCCTTTAGAAATTACATTTCTGTAGATGAAAAATGTTTGATTGATAAGTGCCTCGCTGGTGCTATGAAGTGGGATGATGAAGATGAAATGTCCCAGCTTTTAGAAGTTTTAAGTAACTATGACTGTCGAATTATGGTAAATTCAGAGAATGTTATTCAAGTTATTGAAGAAATAGCCCATAAGGAGCTGCTGCAGAAGCCACAGTATATTGCAGACTGCTGGAAGGATATAGTTTCCACACTCCTTCCTAGTTTTCCTGATTTTGCAGCAATTTCTAAAAGTTATGAATTGTTAATACCATCCAAAAGCAAAATCCTTAGTTGCCTAGAGGCAAACCCTGGGAGTGATGGGGAAAGGGGTAGCCTTAATTTTCTCAAACGGTACATTAAGGGCCTTGACACGTCTCAGAAATTATCAAAAGTTTTTAGGTTTATCGTTAAGTCTGAGTTAATGCTTTTTGATGCAATCCAAGTAAATTTTACCAACTTATCTGGTTTGGATCGCCGACCAATTGCCCACACTTGTAATACTGTGTTGGAGCTATCCTCGACTTATTAGTCATTTCCTGAACTTAGAGAGGAGTTCAGTGCAATACTTGCATCAGATTATTGGGAAATGGAGTATTGTGTAATATGCCTTGTGACAAAAAGAAGACCATTATGATGGTCTAATCTATTGATGATGGTCTAATCTAATCTAATCTAATCTTATGATGGTCTAATCTATTGCATAACTTGCACTTATTGCAAAAAGATATACATCGGCGAAACAGGCAAAAGACTAGGTGACCGATTCCGAGAACACCTTCGAAACGTGGAAAAGAATGACAAGGACACATCGGAACCAGTCGCTAGACATTTTAATTTACCTAATCATTCTAAGCAACATATGGCAATCTCCGGTCTTTCCTTACACTTAGGTAGCACGGAAAGCCGTAAAACTCTTGAACAAAAGCTCATCTTTCAAACCGGCAGTCTAAATCCCACAGGGATCAACGAACGCTTTTCATTCCACTAATTTATTCGTGTTTTTCTCGTTGCCATGTTCCCACCAATAACGTAGCTCCATTTTCTGCCTTTAAAAGCACACACAACCCACAATTCCTCTATTTGCTCCGACGAAGGGCTAACGCTCGAAACGTCAGCTTTTGTAATCGTTACGGTGGCCAATTTACCATTTCAACTTTGTTGATATATCCAAATTATTTCGTTACTCCCACCGACGCAGCCCCAATCAGTTTCTTTCGAAACTATCAGCCTTTATAATTATAACTGTATGAATAATAGGAGGCGAGATATAATAATGTAAGTGCCTTTATTTTTGCTTCAATGACAGCGTTTTAAAGCTTACAACTATATATAAACAACTTAAATTCAAAACGAGGCCATCCTGCCATATCTGCCGGCACCCCTTAGAAACCTCGCCTTTTTGTGGAGCGTAACAACTGGTAACAATCTGTAAAGAAATAAGAACATCAAAATTAAAAATGCATAAAGTGGCGGGAAGGAGGTACACTGTTATATATCGCCTCCTATTATTCGTACAATTATAATTATACTTCAGGCTGCAAGCAGCCTTTGCGTAATCTCCAATTGTACATTATAATACTCGTCTCGATCTAATAATGTATGTTCAAAGCTTCAGGACCTCGGTTCAACTGCAGCACTAGCTAAAACAGAGCGGCCGACACTAGCATTCGAAACAGGGCGATAATAAAACTTCTTGAAAATGGACTCATTTGTCCAATCAGCTAGACGAACTATTTCTGGAATAGAGATGCCTGCTCTCAGCGCCGCAGAAGTAGCTGCTCCACGAGTGGAATGAGCCCTGAATACTTTGTTATCAATTTCAGTTTCCAACAGACAGTTCTTAACTCAGTGAGACAGGGTAGCAGAACTCACAGGCTTATGAGGGTTATTCACAGAGGGGAATAACCTGTTTGGAGCAGCCACTAATTCTGGCCTAAAAGCCTGTGTTCGCTTCTCATATTCTTTACGACACGAGCATGGGCAGAGCAACTCATTTTCTGGGGAACTAGAGTGAAAGGAGGTCTTCAAGGGCTTTCCAACCCGAACCCCTTTTGTAAGTTCTGGGAGGTTAAAAGAAACACCTTCTGGATGAAGTCGTCTAAACCGTAAATCATGGGCAATTAATTCAGAGCCCCTCTCTGCAGAAGTAATCGGAAGCAAAAATGCCAATTTTTAAGTAAGTTGCTTTAACGATAGTTGCGCATTCGAACCGAAACCTTCCAAATAACTCGTAACTATGTTAACATCCCATGTAGATGTGTATCTGGGTACTGGTGGACGGGAATTGAAAATCCCTTTTAGGAGCTGAACTACAAGGGGATGTTCCCCAACATTGTAACCTTCAATTTGTGGGTGTGTCGCAGACAAAGCTGAATGATACACGTTTGGAGTACGATACTCCAGGCCTGCCTCAAAGTGACTGGTTAGGAAGTTTAACACTGAACCTAAAGATGCTGAAAGGGGATTGACTTGTTGTTCACGACGCCAACAAGTCTACTTTCTCCAGGCTGAAGAATAAGTTTTTTTCTGTCCTGTTTCTCCATGCAGCCAGGAGCAGTCTTTGAGCTGGCAATGAAACTGTTGTACCTTCTTATCGACTCCTGAGACTAGCCATGCGGCTAGTTGAAGGAGGGCAAGAGGGTGCAACTCGTTCTCTCGTCTCAGTAGCCCTGGGAACGATGGGAGAAATAGGGGATTGTCTATTGTCATTTCTAACAAGGGGTACCATGGTTGGGTTTCCCACACGAGTCACAATTGTCAACTGAGAGACTGACTGACACAGAACTTGCTTTAGACACCGCCCTATCAGGGCAAATGGAGGGAATGCTGGCTCCTTGAGCTGGCTCCAAACCAGAGTAAGGGCATCCACTGCCTATGGATCTGGCTTTCAACTCACAAACCTGGGTAGTAATGTTGTCAGTCTGCTTGCAAAAATACCCATTGTGAAAGGGCCCCATTTGTTGTTGATCCCTTGAAAGATGGATGGTTCCAGTTTCCAGTCGCTGGAATCTGGATGAGCTCGGGATTCGAAATCGGTCACAAAGTTTAACCGCCCCGGCAAGTGATGAGCTTCGACTGTGATAGTCCGATTTAGACACCATTGCCGAAGGTCGAGGGCTAGGCTTGACAAGATCAGTGGTGTGGACCCACCCATTTTTTTTATATAACTTATTGCTGTTAACTTTACATGGATGTTGCCCTTGTTTTTTAGGAATGACTTTAGGGCAAAATCGCCAGCTAGAAGTTTTAAACAATTTATGTGTAAGAGCCTTTCTGACTGAGACCAAAGCCCTCTGGTCTGAAAGTTTCCACAACATGCTCCCCATCCCATCGAGGAAGCATGTGTTTCGATTGTCAAGTGAGTAGGGGTTCGTAAAATTGCTCTCCTGTTCCAAGCAGAAAAGTCTCTCCACCATTTTAGTTCTTCGAGGGCTTCCTCTGTCCAGCACACTGGGAACTCGTAGCCCCCACGAAGAGCTAGACTGTGCTTTTTGACTGCTTGGATGTGACGATAATGAAGGGGTGCTGGAAACACCGCCTGGATTGAAGCACTTAGTTTCCCCAAAAGCAGAACTAGCTCCCTTATCGTGATGTCTAGGTTTTCCAGAACTTTCTGGCATTCTCTTCTGATACTCTTTACTTTGTCTAAGGGAAGGCTGATGTTTAGTGTAACTGAATTTATACGGAAACCTAGAAACTCTATTGACTGTGTAGGATTTAGCTGGGATTTTTGGTAATTGACCACAAACCCTAATATCTCTAAAAGGGTTACTGTCAATGTGATATGGTATGTTAGAGTTTCTTCGGTGGAGGCTATCAGTAAAAAACCGTCTAAATAAATGATTAGACGAATTCCTTGCTTTCTTAACAGGCCTATCACCGGTTTCAGAATCTTGGTAAAGACTCTGGGGGCACTTGCTATTCCAAATGGGAGGCATGCAAACTCCCACGGTTTCCAAAGAAACCGGAGGAATTTTTGGTGACCTTTCCAAATTGGAACTGTAAAGTAGGCATCTTTCAAATCAATCTTTGCCATGAAATCGTTTGGTTTCGGAAGATCTTTGAGCATATGAATGCCCTCCATTTTGAAATGTTTGTATTGGATAAATCGATTTAATTGGCGGAGGTTGAAGACTGGTCTTTGTCCGCCTCCCTTTTTGGGGATAACAAACAGGCCGCTGACAAATCCCACGTTGTGATCGTGTTCGGAAACCAGATGGATTGCCTGTTTTTGAAAAAGCTCTCCCAGTTCTTTGTCTATCAAATTTGTTTCCTCCCCCATTACTCTTTGAGAGGGAAGGAAATCTTGATGTGGTATGACTGTAAAGGGGATATGGTACCCTGAAATAGCTGTAAGCACCCAAGGGTCGTTTGTAATTGCTTGCCAGTTTGCTATGAAGTGTTGTAGACGACCTGCTATGGAAACGTGGCTTGCCTCTATTAAAGAAAGGCCTAAACTGTTTAAAAACGACTTTACAAGGGGAAGGTTGAAATTCTCTTTTAGTGGTAGCTACCTGCATTGGCTTGACTTGCAACTGTTACTGGAAACTTTGGGGTGGAACATAGTTCTGACCTGGTTGAGCAGCTGGAAACCTTCCCCTGCTCCGTCCCCGGCCTCTGAAATATTAGATTCTCCCTCTGGTTGGGAAGCTTGGTAGGCGATGGGACCATTTCCCAGAAAACTGACCCCCTCGCACTGCCTGAATTGGGAGGAGGTCCCTCTTCGAAAAAACTGCATGCTTGGCTTCTTAGGGGCTGCCATAGAAAGGATCTTCATCGTTTCATTCCTTTTCTTCACCTTTTCTTCAAAGGATGGACCAAATAAATTTTTTCCTGCCTCTGGGAATGGTTCAGAAGCTAATGAGCTCATCTGAGGGTTCAGTTTATCAAACACCCGTTTTCGTCTGTGAACTTTATACTGAGCATTGACAGATCCCAGTAGAGTAAGGGCCTTGGACAAACATGTATACAGGCCACCGACGTCTTGTGTGGATAGAATAACAAAGCCCAGTTTATCCTCGCTTTCATGCCAGTTGGAGATGTGTTCAAAAGCCATGCTTACTGGGCCAACAATGTCCAAGAGCTGGTCTTGGAATTTTTTAGCTTCTTTGTCAACTCCTTTCGCTCCAGTAACAAGAGAACTTAAATAGTCGTCAAGCACTGGAGTAAATACTGACTCAACATTGGGACGAGGAAAATCTTTTGTGATTTGTTTCCTGTCGTACACAGACAGCGGTTTATCGGCAAACCTAACGTCCAGAAAGCTAGACAGTTCCTCGGACGCCTCCCAACGTCCAGCGGGATGTGTAAGATCCTCACTGACATCTTCGTTCGCCTCTGACACTTTTATTTTCTTCGAAGATGGGTCACTGATTTCAACGTGACCATCGTTTAAGCCTTGTGTTGACCCAGCGGCTAACCAGACAGCTACAGAATCATTTGAGCCTTGTGTTGACCCGGCGGCTAACCGGGGAAAAGAAATTGAACTGATGTTCAAAGTTTGTGAACTCGAGGCAGTTCCCTCGAGGCTTTTCTTGGCAAGCGTTTCGTGAATCATAGTGGGCAGCATGGCTGCTACTTGGCTCTGAATCGCTTTGGACATAACCTCTGCTGTATTATCTCTTTCAGAATTCATGGATTTACCTTGAGATGTCTCAGGATTCTGGTCGATTACTTGGATATGTGCTTCAATTCCAACCTTTGCTGCCATGCTGAGCGAAGCTAAAAGACGAGGTTTCTAAGGGGTGCAGGGTGGCCTCGTTTTGAATTCAAGCTGTTTATTTATAGTTGTAAGCTTTAAAACGCTGTCATTGAAGCAAAAGTAAAGGCATTTACATTATATCGAGACGAGTATTATGATGTACAATTCCACATATCCGCCATCTTTTAAATCGTGGAAAAAAGGTTGCGCCTTTATTATTACGTGTCTGCGGCATTCCCCATTGCACGTGACGGAGGTTTGTGGAGAAACCCGATGGTAAACCTATAGTCGGTCGCCCGACTAAAAATATAGAACGCATATAAAATAAATAGAAAAAATAGAAAATAGATGAGCAAAACACGTATATATAAAATGAATATATAAATTAAAAACTAGAATATTGAGGTAACCGCTCTAACCAGAGCGCTGGACTGTTGTGCGGGAGGTCGAGGTCGATGGTTCGAGCCCCGGTCGGACCAACACTCAAGGTCATAAAATAACTAAGGAGAATGCGTTACCTTTCTTTAATAAGAAATGGATAGACATTCCAGTCTTCTCGGATAAGGACGAATAAACCGTAGGTCCCGTCTCCTGCATCTATTAATTAGTTAATTTGGTTAGGTAGGAGACGTTAAAGAACCCACTGACAAGATTACTGTGGTGAGGTCTGGCTTGTTTACTAGGAATTGGGGGGAGGGGGCATCTTCAAATAAGTTTCCTTCGATTGTTTGTAAACTGCCGATGCAGTCTGGCCAAAGTGCCCCGAAAAGTGTTGTGACTCACATCTGATCATATCCACATGTTAATTTGCGCAATAAAAATCTTAACTTATTATTATATTATTATATTATAACCAACTAAGTGCCTAGTTTCAGTTCCAGAATCGGTGTACTTTTGGAGAAATTTAGACACATTTTCCCTGTTTTACCCTACAGCAAAAATGACCGAAACTGTACCAAGATAAATAATCTATTGGTGTGTTCACATTCACTCCCAGGGAAAATAGAATGCATCAAAGTAAAGACGAATGATGTCACTATGTATGCTAGAAGCACCAATCTGTAATGTTGTATTTAGCTTGAGATAGAGGAAATAAACATTTTACACTTTTTTGCGATGTTTTTGTATGAAATTGAGGCCCCAGGCCTCGAACAAGCAGTCATTGTTACCATGACAAAAAGAGGGTTGCAACCTTTAAAAAGGGCATTTTTGCGCATCCCTCCTGAGTGCCTAATTGCATGCAAAATTGGAAGGGGAGTTGAAAACGTTCATTTGCCAAGATGTTTGATTCTTACAGAGACTCGTTCTTAATTCAAAATTTGATAAAAATAACAATACACAAACTTTTACCGCGAGCAATAACGAGTAACGAGTGTGGTGGCTTAGATTAAGACGGGTGGAGAAACACCACCGAAATCTTGCCTTTAAAAACAGATTCGATCCAAAAAAGATCTTTCTGAAAGCTAGCTATAGTTCATAACTTTTTCGTTATGGCATTATTTTGCTAAAATATAAATATGAGTTTATTACATGGCAATGAACCTTGGAAATGCAATCCCAGTTGATCCGAACTTCGCGCTAACTAGCATTCAAGGTAACCGGTCAAGTCGCCAGAGCAGTCATATCGCCAATGTCATTTTGCCAGAAATATTTAGTCGTATTGCTCGAAATCAGGTTGATGGATGATGGTGTAGTCTTTATTTTGGATAGAAACCAAACTCAGTGTTGATTGCTCATTGTTCATTTGTATGCAATTCAGTTTTATCATTTTTTATTAAGCAATGTTACGTAACTAGCAGTTAGTGGTCCACATAATTTAGGTAATGTAAAGTTGACTAAGTTAGCAATTGTGTATTTAACGATCTGCACTTTGTTAAAACGTTTTTCACTTGAACAAAACAGACTCCTACTTCACAGACTATATTGCTGATTATTGTGTAGTCGGTGGCAGAACAGGAACAGGATCAGTAGTAACAAAGGATCATTGGGAAATTACGATCAATGTGAACATAGGATCGATAGGAACATAGGATCATCGAGAACATAGGATCAGTGGGCACATAGGATCAATGGGTACAATGATCAATAGGACAGCACATAGGATCAATGGGTACATAAGATCAGTGGGAACATAGGATCAGTGGCTACATAGAAAAACTAGGAATATGAGATCGGTGGGTACATAGGATCAGTGGGAACAGAATAAGTGGGTACATAAATACGAGATATTAAGGTACCAATCTGACAAAAAGAAAAACTAAAATTGTAACAGTCAGACACCAAGGATATCTAAAGAAGGTGGGTGTGGTGGTGGGTGTGGTGTTAGTAGTGGTGTTAGTGGTGTTAGTAGTGGTGGGTGTGGTGTTAGTGGTGGGTGTGGTGTTAGTAGTGGTGTTAGTAGTGGTGTTAGTGGTGTTAGTAGTGGTGGGTGTGGTGTTAGTGGTGGGTGTGGTGTTAGTAGTGGTGTTAGTGATGGGTGTGGATAAAGATTAGTTAGGTATGACAAACAAACGCCTTTTCTTCTTCTTTTCACTTGCAAATTTGTATATGCTTCTGTTTCCTACTCTTCTCCCTTTCCTACTCTTCTCCTCTCTTTCCTGCTCTAGCCAGAGTCCGGAAAACGGTTGCTCCGCGACCGTTTCTCTTTTCCTCTTGTCTTCTTTTCACTTCCTCTTTTCTCCTCTGTCCTGCTCATGCGGCGGAGAAGGAGGTATACATAAGGTTAAAACTCGAAGCGTCTGGTACCACACTCAGCTCTTACATGCTCACGTAGTGTGCGGACTATGGTGAGTACTCAGGATCTATCTGCTGTTCTAAAGACTTATCGACAAAAAATGCACGCTGTTCATGCTCGCGTAAAGTATCAAGAAAATGTGTTAAAGGAATATAAAAGACATGCTGAGAATGGAACGTTTCCCATAAGATGGAAATCATTGAAGGGCTACCCTAATATGCAAAGTCCTGAAGCTCAGAAACGTGTCGATGAAGCATGCCATCGAGCAGAATGTATGGTGCTGGAACAGAGGATTCAGGAGATTGAAAATAATCTTGCTGCACTGAAAGAAAGATATCAATCCTTGCTAGAACAGCGTCAAAGTTAGCGACAACAACAACAACAACTGGAGGGAAGTCTTTGGAATAAAAAGACACCCAAGATACCTCACCACGCACGGGTTAAAACTGAATTGGCTGAATTACAGAAAAAATACTATCAACTCTGCACCAAATTAGACACGATGGCAAACTCTAGAGAGAGAACAAAGATATCTCACCATACACGGGTTAAAACAGAATTGGATGAATTACAGAAAAAATACGATCATCTCTGCACCAAGTTAGACGCGATGGCAAACTCCAGAGAAAATAAAGATATCTTACCGCTCACACAAATGAAAACTGTGGAATCTGAACAAACTCTGAACAATAGTGAAAACACAATGTAAACCGACCTATGTTCTTCCACAGATAGTAGTGGGTGTGGTGATGGGTGTGGTGGATGTGGTAACACGTGGAGTCGACGATAAATGTTATGAATGAAAAGAAGAGATTATTACATTTTTTGCATTAATTGCTGTGACACG